ACCAGCAGGCATTTCACTTGGTGTTGTTGAATTGGTGTTGTTTCATGATTGTACTTCAACTCACTTTGAGTTGATACTTTATTACTCATGCATTTCACTTGTTAGTCCATTCATTCATTTGGCCTTGTTTTTCGACATTACAACCCTTCAAGTCCCCTTGATCATGAACCTAAGGTATGTTAGTGGTGAAGATATTAGAATTTCTACAAGCTTATGGTAGGTGCTAATCTAGGTGGATTGAGTGAAATTTTTCCCATTTGAGAGATGAGTGAAACACTTGTACCATATGTAAGCTCTATTATGTTTCTCTTCTTTTATCCTGCTATGTTTCTTGTGTTAATTTCTTTGCACTGAAGTATTCTATGATTGTTGATTAATTAACAATAAAGGTTGCTTGAGTTAATTGCACATTCATGCTTAGTTAGTTTTATGTTTGCTTGCATTGAGTGTCTCTATTGGATTCTTCTTTAATGATGTTTTGCCCAGGAGTGCAAAAGGCTAAGTGTGGGGGAGTTGACAAACTCAATTATTTTTATATATTTTGATATCTTTTATATTGGTTTTGTCAACTTAATTAGTCCCTTTTGACCTTAATTGATTGCTTAACTGATTTAATATACTTTATTTTGAATTATTATTTTATAGGGGTAAAATTGTCATATTTTGGTTTAATTGTGACTAATTGATTTTTGAGGATAATTAATGCTACTTTATCCTTGAATTTTGCTTGCAGGTTTTTGGAAGAAATAAAAATTAAAAAGAAAAAGAAAAAAATATAACAAAAAGATAATTAAAAAGAGCGTTTTGCCCCCACCCCACTAAACCTATTATTCATATGATCTTCAACGCGAGCTGACGGAGGGACGGACCCACAAGCTGAACGCCGAGCGAGCAGAGGACACACACACGCTAGCTGGGAGGCGGCGGAAAAACAGAGCAACACACGAGAGGAGAGGCTGAACACGAAACACACACACACGCTAGCTGGGAGGCGGAACGCGAGGGGGGCACCAGTGACGGCGGAGAAGAGAGGGAGAACGAAGGGGAGAGAGGCGACCGAGAGTGAAGGACCAAAGCTTAACAGCGATCCCACCCGTCGAGCCTGCTGGTTTTGCTGTGCCCAGGAGAAGAAGAAGGTGAAGGCGCCGGTGATGATGGATTTCGGTGAATATGGAAGATGATGATTCGAAGTGAAGAAACAGAATCTGGAGGTGCGATCGCTGTTAAGCTCTGGTCCTTCACTCTCGGTCGCCTCTCTCCCGTTCGTTCTCCCTCTCTTCTCCGCCGTCGCTGGTGCCCCCCTCGCGTTCCGCCTCCCAGCTAGTGTGTGTGTGTGTTTCGTGTTCAGCCTCTCCTCTCGTGTGTTGCTCTGTTTTTCCGCCGCCTCCCAGCTAGCGTGTGTGTGTCCTCTGCTCGCTCGGCGTTCAGCTTGTGGGTCCGTCCCTCCGTCAGCTCGCGTTGAAGATCATATGAATAATAGGTTTAGTGGGGTGGCGTTTTGCCCCCCTTCTTTTTAATTATCTTTTTGTTATATTTTTTTCTTTTTTTTAATTTTTATTTCTTTCAAAAATCTGCAAGCAAAATTCAAGGATAAGGTAGCATTAATTGTCCTCAAAAATCAATTAGTCACAATTAAACCAAAATATGACAATTTTACCCCTATAAAAATAATAAAATCAAAGTATATTAAATCAATTAATCAATCAATTAAGGTCAAAAGGGACTAATTAAGTTGATAAAACCAATATAAAAGATATCAAAATATATAAAAATAATTGAGTTTGTCACTTACACCTAGCAAAAAAATTTTAAAAAAATTATTTCAATTCTATAACTTACTAAATGCAGTGAATTTTCGGAATAAGCTCTGTAGAAATTCCCCACAAGAATAATGTCAATGAATTTGTGAACGCTTGAAGACTATGTGCATGATAAAAAAGAAAGAACACTTTATATGCAAGAAAAAATATAAAGTTCTTTTTTTTGTATGGAAAATTTGGTATAAAATCTTTGTTTGGAAATTTTATTGATAAGAAGGATTTGATATGTTTTCATATACAAATACTGATATTTTGCAAGATTATATGGGTATATAAATATATATATATATATATATATTTATATATCAAGTACTGGTATTGGAAATTAGGCCTTTCTGGTTAATAAAATTTTCAAGTAGAGACTTTTTATTGATTTTTTTTTTTTAGTGGTGTGTGTCTCCCTCTACTTTAATAGCAAAAAGACACAAAAATATATCCCAAAAGATGGTGCTCCAGTAACCGGCTGCCCAAGCTTTGGCAGCCCCTCCCTGTTAGAATAATTTCATTTTTATCCATTAATACTGAACCAAAATTTCAGAATTTTTTTGACTTATTGAAAATTAATTTGCATCTGTAGGGGTAAATGAAACTTTCCTATAATGTAGCATAGTACTCTTTTTTTCTTTAGTAACAATAAAATCAGAACAAAATATAAAAGGAAAAAAGATAAGAAAATATCTTTAAAGACACAAAATCTATTGGTGAAAAGCAAAAAGTCATGTCAAAACAGGTATACTGATTTGGCATTTCTTAATGTGGATAAAAGATAAGCCTGCCCTTAATAAATTGATAAAAGGAAAGACGATAAAGAGAACAAGTTAGTATAGTCTATTTATGTAAAGGTGTTGTTAATCGATATCAAAGTTTTGTCAACATGTCTAGCAAAGGGGCAACATGTGATTTGTTAAAGTTTTCTAATTGGTTTGTCTTGTAATGAATTTTGTTAATTACTTGTTGTAAATATATATAAAATTGTTGTCAATATATTTGAAAGAGTTGTTAATAGCCCTAACCAGTTGATAGCATGTAATTTGTCTAAGTTTGCTGATTGGCTTTCCTTGTAATGAATTTTCCTCATTACATGTTGCCAATACATATAAAAGTGTTGTTAATATATTTGAAAGAGTTGTCAACGTGCTTCACAAAATTGTAATGAATTTCCTTAATTACTTGTTGTCAATATATGTAAAAGTGTTATTAATCTATTTTGTAGAGTGGTCAATGCTCCTGACAAAGTTGTAATGAATTTTCCTAATTACTTGTTGTGTTGTTAATATATTTGGAAGAGTTGTCAACAAGTCTAATAAAGTTGTTAATATATTTATGTGATAGTAATTGGTGTGCCCTATTATGAATTTTACATATTACTTTGTAGTGAGCATATATAAAGTCATTGTTAACCAATAAATTTTACACAATTTAAGTGATGTCTTTTAAATATAAGTAGTCACCGGATACTACACAGTTGTCAAAAGCTTTGATAAAGTAGCTAGTAAACACCTAATTCATAGATTATCATCACGTAAATCCAACGAGCAACAACCTCGCTCACTAGTTGGACAAGTGTTGCCGCTTTGTTGTCGTTTTTTTTTTTCCTTGTTCAAGTAGCTTCAAAGCTTTAACCCTTCTATAATTTCCATCATGGTTAATGAGTCATCTCAAGAGATCACGTCTAAAAGTAGTCACTTATTCATTTGTGTATTCTAATGCCACATCTAGATCCCATTTGTTTAACCATATCAACACATGCACGCCACATTCTCTCTTAAGCAAAAAAGTCAATAATTAATTCCAGGTCATTGAAGCAAAAAAAAAATTTTTTTTTTTTAAAAGAAGTGTCAAATTACAAAATACCAACAACATTAAGCTCATAAGAATTAAGTAAATGAAGCAATTCCACACTATATATAAAATATAATATATTGCATAAGTAGATTGGATATAAAATATTAACAATAATACTACAACTATTAACAACTTTACTTTAGTCATTGACTACAAACTAGACTTTTCATGACAGTGACAAAATTCGCTATATTAGATTGAGCATTAACAGCAATAATGAGTTCCTTGCATTTGGGACACCTCAGAAATGGTGAAATGGTCATACCAGAAGAGAGCTTAGAGTTAATCGCTAAATCCTTTAATAACTTCAAAGTCCTGGTGGTGTCCTCTTGTGAGGGTTTTAGTACCGATCGATGGACTCACTACAATTGCTGCCAATTGCAGGTCTTTTCATTCTCAGTTCTCTCTTCTTTCCCATGAATTTTGTCTTGGCTTTGCTTTTGTCAGAGTGAGCATGAAAGGGAGACAATTTGGGCTCCGAACATTTTTCTTTTTTCACAGAAGATCGTGAAGTTTGAATCTTTTCTATGGGAGAGAATTTTGAGACACAAAGGAAGGATAGTGGAAGCAGAAGATATTGGTGAAATGAAGACTAGGGAGAGAAATGAAGAAGCTAAAAAGAAGGAGTAGGAGAAGACGAAGGACCTAGAAGGAAGAAAAAAGAAAAGGACAGAAGGAGAAAATGAAAAGAAGGTCATGTACGTAAATTGATAACATTTTGAAATTTCAAATTGGTATGTGGGAAAGAATTCGGCATTTGTGAAATTTAAAGCATTGATTTGAAATTTTATAATTTTGAAGGTATTTATATGTCTTTTTTCCAATATAAAAATGTAATTAAAAAGGTTTATACTATTTATAAATAATGAATAGTAAGGCTTACAAATACTATTCTGTAATGAATCGATGCTTTCAAATAGTATACAATACGCATACATTCGTGCGCGCGTGTGTTAGTTAATTATAATCTCTCGTTAGAATTACTGTTATTGCTTGCGTTCAACACTACCATATATGCGACACGTATATAACGAGATAAATTCTAACAGGAAAAAAAAAAGGCTAAATGTGAATTTCCCATGTAAAATTATCTGAAAGATAAACTCATATTCCTAAGTAAAAAGGGATGCAAATCTTTGGAGAAACAAATTTCATATTCGTAAATAAAAGTGTACAAGCTTTCGAAAAGAACTGAATGATTTATTCAGTATTTTTTCAACATCATCACTCAAGATCACTGACCCTTTTTTCCTCAATTATTGATTTCAATTCTTTTCACGTACTTGTCATCATGTTATTATGTCCAACATGAAAATTTCTCCCCCTTCAACAGCTTCATGGATTTGTCTTCTGATCATGACTTTTTGTGTCAGCATCGAGAGGAACAAACTTATTCCAGAACCAATGTGACTTCCACACTGAGTTCATCTCTTCAATGGGTACGCCCTTAGTCTCAGGAAGGAAGAAAGCAATGAAGAAGGTCATTATGAGAACAAAAGCTGCGAAGAAGAAGAAGAGACCGAACTTCATGTGGCAAAGCATGAGCAAGAAGATCTGGGCAATTAGAAATGTGAAGATCATATTCACTGCGACATTAACGGCCTGCCCAGCTGATCTGATCTCCAAAGGACACACTTCACTTGGCACTAACCATCCCAATGGTCCCCAAGACCAAGCAAATGCTGCCACATATGCACAAATCAAGAACAGAAGCAAGTCGGCTTCACCTTTGTTGAATGAACCTTGCCCATTCACTCCAAACTTCAAAGCTATCATGACTCCCACGGCAATCTGAAACAAAAATATTAACACCAGTGAATCAATGTTGGAAATTTTTTCAATTCAGGAAAGATTTAATGAGTTAACCACTCGTTCTTAGTTTCAATGAAACGGTTGAAAGTGACTTATATTTTGTACCAATCGGAGCATATAGGCATATATAATATAATAGTGCATTACAATGTAGAATCGTATAAGTTGTATATATGTTACCTGGCAAACAAGCATTTGGATGCCACCTTCAAGGAACAGAATCCTTCTTCCAAATCTATCCACAGTGAATATAGACACCAATGTGGCAATAACGTTAACGAGTCCAGTAATAACTGCTGACATGAGGGAAGCTTCAGCACCGAAGCCAAGAGTCTTAAAGAGAACTGGTGCGTAGAACATGATGACATTGATGCCTGTTAGCTGTTGGAAGAATGGAATTAAAGTGCAGAAAGTGATTTGGGGCCTATATTTGGATTGTGAAATGTTCTTCCATGGGTGTTCAACTTGTTTGGCTGCTTCACTTGCATTAATCAGATCTTGGAGCTCATCATCAACATTCTCAATTCCACGAATCTTCTGCAACATTTCCTTGGCTTTTTCGGTTTTGCCTCTTTCAATCATGGAGTTTGGTGTGTCTCCCAAGAAAACTGATCCAATGCACAACAAAAATGCAGGCACTGCTCCAACACCTAGAGAAATTCTCCATCCGTTTTCATACTTAGCAGTTCCGTAGTTGATAAGGTTCGCAATCAAAATGCCAATTGTGATCATCATTTGGAATCCCATGTTAAGTGCCCCTCTAATATTCGCTGGAGCCATCTCAGATAAATATACTGGAACAGACTGTCATATAGTTCAAAACAAGATAAATTACATTAAAATCAACAAAAGACGAACTACATGAAAAATGAGTCTTGGTGCTCTAATGTGCCTTCCCGCCTTCCTCTAATGCCATTGGTAATTCCTCAACCTCACGAATTTTTTCCTTTTTATAACCATTACATTCTAAATAAAATGATAAGTGACCTTTTGAAATCATCAAGTTTTCAATTTTTTTTTTAATGATTTTTCAAAAGAAAACGCTATGAAATTGTGCTTTTTTTTTTTCTCTTTGAAAGGTTGGGACGTTGCAAAGAGCATTTGGAGAATTTCAGAGAAAGGTGCATTAGAAGCCCCAAGTCTCATGAAAACGGGTATGCTGATGCAAAGATCTATTATTACTTACTTGATTACAGTAACCCACACCAAAACCAAGCAGTATACGACCAATGATGAGCATTGCGATGTTTACTGCGAAGCCATTCAATAATGCACCGACAAGGAAAAACAAACCACCAAGAAACATGGAAGGTTTCCGACCAAGTATTCTTGTAGTAGAAGAAGCAAAGAACGAAGCAACCAAAGCTGCGAGGTACAAGGACGAGGTGAACAACGTAAGGATTTCGTCGTCAAATTTGCAGTAAGTGTTCTCATGAACACCAGCCTTTATTCTTCTATACACAGAAGGGAAAAACTTGATCAGGAATGGATCCATGGAAGTGACTCCTCCTGTAATCCCGAGATCGTAACCAAAGAGAAGACCTCCCATGGCTGCCACGAAACATGTGACCAACACAAAGGTTGTCACTTTGCCCTCAAAATGCTTAACTTGACCTTGATCAACGAAACCACCTCCTGCCATTTTTGAATTAGCTGAGCAATATCACTTCAAATTTTATTTGATGCTCAATCTTGTTTTGTTTATTTCTTCTTCAAGAGTGTATATGTTTTTTCTTTCTCTTCCTCACTACGATGTTTGCTGTGGCTTATATAGTGTTTGATTTGAACAAGAAGCACGAAAAGTCAGAGTTGATTTACACAAAGATGATCCTATTCAACGTCTTTGTGCCTTTTTAAGACATGTCACATGGTCGTGTTTTCCTAAATTAGCAGTTCTTTTTATCCGAATTCGTTGTTGAAGTACTGCCATGTGGATATTTTCTGTAAATAGGAATGTCGTTAGCCTAGTCCATTTCTATTTTTGAGTTGATAAAATTTTCTTGTTATTATTTAATTATTTAGTAATTATCTTGAGATCGGTAAATTAAATATTTTGTTTTAACAGTCTCTATTTGCAGGGTATGGTTGAGGAAGGGACAGATCCTTCGTCAATTCTCGCTTTAATTTATTTTATTTAACTTTTTAATACAAAATAAATTGGAATTATTTATAACTAGACTCTTTAGTGGAAAAGGGATTATTCTCAAAACAACAGCCCGGGGGGGGGGGACCTGCATAGATACCATCTAACAATATGCAGAATAAAACAAATAAAGTTGAAGCTGCCTTAAAAAATGGAGTCTTATTTAATTCGCTTCTTTATTCTAAAAATAAGCGTGTTATGCAAACCTTCTAGTCTTATTTAATAATGTAATGAAGAAACTGTCTTAGTCAACTTTCTGCAGCTTATGACCTGAGATGTGTGATGATTTTTTTTTTTTTTGACCAGCATGAGATGTGTGATGATTAGATCATCAAGATAGACGAACAATATACACAAGTCACGTCCCCGCCCCCGGCACAGGCATCTCTAATATTCTTATTAGAAATAATATTACTTGAGACGCTATCAAGTATTAAATATAGGCATCTTTCAACAGGAATTTGAATTTGATTTATCATATTATGGAGAATTAACCCTTCTGCTAGACTTAACTTATGGTTAAGTCACTTCCTCTCTTAGATCATGCTATGTCTAATGAACAAAGATTGATCCCTAGCATTAAAAAAAAAAGAAAAAGAAGAACAAAGATTTGATCACGTTTAGCTTCCCCCCCCCCTGTAAACTCTTGTTGTGGAGAAAAACAAAAAAAATTAATCACATTTGCTTGACTCAAATCCAAAATTGAGCATTGTAAAACCTGTTGAAACAAACCAAGGGCTCTGGAGAATATTAGTATAGAAACTCTTGTTTTCAATGATTAGTCTCTTGTATCTTAAGCTAAAAACAAAACGATTGTAAATTATTTATCCGAACGCCACCTTCTTCAAATATGAAGATCCTCGAATACTCATTTGTACAAATTTAAATATATTTCTACGTTTTGAATAGAGAAGTCAAATATTGTTAGCATGTAAATTTTATTTAACTTAATTTTAAAGTTAAATTCATTTTATTTAAATAATAAATATAAGAAATAAAATAAATTTTTTTTAAAAAAATGCCCCATTGACCGAAGTTAATGGCCTAAAAGTGAAGTTTATTGCAGGTATATAATGTAGATTAAATATTGTACTACCTCCAGTCCTGAATATAAGCTAATTGAAGATTCATTTTGATTCTAAGGTATCAATATATTTTGTTTCCTATATTTATTTATTTTTTCTTAAAGCGGTGCCTATGATGATTATACATGTTAAACGGCCTCTATTCTAATACACATTATGAACAAAGATATTAAAAAAAACAAAACAAAACATATTTGTTACAAATAGCTAGTTTAACTAATTTTCTTAATATGTACAAATTAGTTATTTAGCTCTTATATTAAGAACCAGAGGTAACATTACTTTAATGCCACAATTAGCGATCTTACATTACTAAATCAAATGAACAATTAAATAAAGAACAAGGGGATTGTGTATGGAAAAAGATACCAATAGAAAGTAAAGAAAGGATCCATGTCCATTGCTTGTATTTCTATTACAAAACGTTTTGTGTACAAAATGTATTGAAGAATATACACATGTAATTTTATACACATGCAATTTTCATACATCATATACAACTCCTCTATGCACAAGAAATCAAAATTATTAGTCTCGAAAGAGAGAGGGGGTGTGAACTTTGGAAAGAAATGAAGTCATATCCAAACGTTTTCCTGATTCTTCTCACATTTTTTCTTTATTCAGTGCATATTTAACTACTATATAATCTTTCAAAGATTAATAGCCTTTCGATTGTATCCAACATTAGGTGAAGGCATGCGACTGAGAGGAACAATCTTGCCCCAAAGCCAATGTGTTTTCCAAATAAGATGCATTTCTTCAATAGGAACGTTCTTTGTTTCTGGGAGGAGCAGAGCAACAAAAATGGTCATTATGACAACGAAGCCGGCGAAGAAGAAGAAGAGGCCGAACTTCATGTGGCAAAGCATGAGAAGAAAGATCTGAGCAATGATGAAAGTGAAGAACATGTTGACGGCGACGTTGATGGCTTGGCCGGCTGATCGGATCTCGAGAGGGCATATTTCACTAGGAACTAGCCAACCTAAGGGTCCCCAAGACCAAGCATAGGCTGCAACATATGCGCATATTAAGAACAGAAGCACATCTGCCTCTACTTTGCTAAATGATCCTTGACCACTTACTCCAAACTTCAAACCTATCATGACTCCCACAGCAATCTAGAATAGCAATTCAATGTAACGCATATTAGTACATTTTGAAGTTCTCAGAGAGATTTTAACATGCAAGATGAGGCCAGTTGACGCTAAATACGAAAAGCATTCGTTAGATGTAAATAAAATACGTACTACCATTGTTTTCAATATAAGTCATTTTCAGAAAAACAAACAACATATAATTTAATATATATATATATAAGGTTTTTTGTTCAAAATTTTAAGGGTTCTTACACCTAAAATGCCCCTAAGAATATAAGAAAACGGGTTGCCTCCCATTATCAGGCTTCATTAATATTTAAATTGATGATTAATATAAAGGGTAAAGTTGAGAAATAAAATTGAGAACTGAACTACTGTTTTGGTCCTGTTTATAAGAAATAACTTTTTCTTTTGTCTAGAGCATTTATTGATTTTTTCCTTTCTATACTTTTATTAAAAACGAGTATTTATTAAGGAGATCAATTATCAAAAGTCTCCAGTCAATTATGAAATAAGAGTATATTGTAAAAGAAATAAGCATTTTTAACATGTCTATCAACCTAACTGACTTTTTAACTATTATTTTCATTCTTGAAAATTAATTGTTTGTCTCTCGTAAAACGGACTCAAAGAATACCTATAGCTATTTTTATTTGTGGGTGTAAATGTCTTGTCAATATTTTGAAATGCGAGGAGTATATATATACCTGGCAAATAAGCATTTGGAAGCCACCTTCAAGGAACAAAATCCTTCTTCCAAACTTATCAACAGTGAGTATAGAAACTAGCGTGGACAAGGCATTAACAACTCCAGTTATAACAGCTGACATCAAGGAAGCTTGAGAACCAAATCCAAGAGTCTTGAAAAGAACTGGTGCGTAGAACATAATGACATTGATGCCTGTTAATTGTTGGAAGAATGGAATGAAAGAGCAGAAAGTGATTTGAGGCCTATATTTGGGTTGTGTGATGTTTCTCCATGGATGATGAACTTCCTTAGCTTCTTCGCTCGCATCGATCAGATCCTGAAGCTCCTCGTCGACGTTCTCGGTTCCTCGGATCTTTATTAGCATTGCCTTGGCTTGTTCGTGTTGACCTCTTTCTATTAGGGAGTTTGGTGTGTCACCCAAGAAAAGTGATCCTAAACACAACAGAAAGGCAGGAACCGCTCTCCTAAACCTAATGAGATTCTCCATCCTTGTCTATACTTAGCTGTCCCATAGTTTATAAGGTTTGCAACCAAAATACCAATTGTTATCATCATCTGGAATCCCATGTTCAGTGCTCCTCTGATTTTTGCCGGAGCCATTTCAGATAGATACACCGGAACAGACTGTGAACACATTGAAGAATAAATCATAATATTGATTTCTGGACAGAGATTAGTCTCAAATCTATAGTGATTTAGAGATACTCTGAATTAGATTAAAAAAAAGTCATAATATTGATTTCAAGACATTATATGATCACGCGCTCCAATTCTTAAAGAACCCTTTCTTATATTTTTCTTAAAAGAAATATATATATATATTTATATAGAACCCTTTGCAAAGTAGGATGCAATATTTACTATTCATTAATTACCAGGTTAATATACTCAGATTCAGTTGACGTGAAAATGGGTGATGAAATAGAGTCTACACATTATCGTACATTCTTTCAATAAAATTAAATGAAAAGCAAGGAAATTTAGAAAAGATTATATATATATATATATATATTGTTTTATGAAAATTAAAGTTGTCAACTAGCTTCCTTAATTGACAACATTCAGTTAAAAGGTGTTTTATATTTAGGTCCAAAGTAAGAGAGTGTATATACATATATGCCACACTCCGAAGGGAAGCACTTAAAAATGGTTAAAAGAGATAGAATAACTTATTTTCAATGATAAAACATATATAGTTAACGTTAATAAGATTAATCAATAGGTTAAAAATTCGAATTTCTTTTTAAAATATCATCATTTAATTACTTGTGGTTTTAATAATTGATCTTATTGATAAATCCTCTTTTTTTTTAATTAATATGATATAAAAAAAATTTTTGAGAAATGCAGACGATAAACTTATTGTTCCTTATAAACAGGATCAAGAAAACTCCAAAAAATTTCTCTCATAGAAAGAACGGGAGAGATTACTTACTTGATTACAGTAGCCAACACCAAAACCGAGCAATATACGGCCAATGATAAGCATTGCGATGTTCAATGCAAAACCATTCAAAAGAGCACCAACGAGGAAAAACAAACCACCAAGAAACATGGAAGGCTTCCGACCAAGTAATCTTGTAGTGGCAGAAGCAAAGAAAGAAGCAA